AACAAATGTCTATTATGGAGTCTTCCTATCATTTCATTAAAAAGAGTATTTTAGCACCAAAAATTGGATAAGGAAAAAAATCTCAAACTAAAGGATAGTTTGTTTGTAGTGAATACATCGGGACCATCTATATTTGTGGGAAACCTCTACATTTGTGGGAAACCTCATTCATTTCTCTCATTTGTGGAAGAGTGAAGCTTTATATGTATGGGCTGGAAATAGAAAAACATCAGAGGAAAATATTTCTGTACTGTGCCATATATTCACAGTTTATACTTTGTGGGCCCAGAGTTGGCTTCAAGGCCATGAGAACTATGTAGTCGCACATAGCCCCACACTTTGGAAGGGCCATTTGCTTGGTTTAGTGTTCTACCATCACTGTTCTAAAATTATTAATAATTTATGAACTGGATGCCCTGAATTTTCATTTGTTCGTGGTCTAAGTTCTCTGCAGGTCAGATAGTCTCTGTTACAACCACTCCTCTCTGCCACAGGAGCACAGACCCAGCCATAGACAGCATGCAAACAAATGAGAGTGACTACATTCCATCAAAACTTTACTTCTAAATATAGATAGTGGGCTGAATCTGGCCTGTGAGCCACGGTTTGCTGGCCCCTGGCTTAGCACACAGGCTGCGGAGTAAGCAGGCTAGATTCAAATACTGATGCCAGTACTGCGGTTACATGACACCTGGCCATTTACTTAACCTTCTCCAATTGCTACTTGCCCCCATTTCTGACTGTGGGGTAATATTGTTAAGTTTACCTCCGGAGCTGCTGTCAGAATTAGCCAGATGATGTATGTAAACCACCTGGTAACCTACAGTACAAACTTTCTAGAACTATTCTCATTTCTGCTTATTATCCTTTAGCATCACCTCTCTGCCAGTTCTGATGCTGGGTTATTTACATTTTCCAACCCTTCTGTCTTTCCGGGAATCTTAAAAATTCATATCAGAGGAAGCTGGAAATCTGTGGATCGTTCCCCATTTCCCCCCTTTCCAAGTAGACCTTTTTGGATAAAATTAGCAACAGTTTTCAATAAACTAGATATGATCCCTCACCCAAGGTTCTGGAGTTTGGTGCCAAGTGCACACTTTCATCAGATGTCCCCACCGCCAGGTTGGTCAGAGGTACACTTGCTCACTCTCTAAATAATACAGTTGCTTCCATAATACATGTGCATTTTCAACCTCAGGCATTCAGATGTTATTATACACTTGCCATGGTATCAACCTTCTCTCTGTCCATCATTAAAATAATATAAGTAGCTGCTCAAGAAAATCAAAGAGGACGCAAATAAATGGAAAAACTTTCCATGCTCATGAACAGAAATAATTAGTATCATGAAAATGGCCATACTGCCCAAAGTAATTTAGATTCAATGCCATTCCCATTAAATTACTATTGACATTCTTCACAGAATTAGAAAAATATACTTTAAAATTCATATGGAAACAAAAAGAACCCATATAGCCAAGGCAATTCTATGCAAAAAGAACAAAGTTGGAGGCATCACACTACCTGACTTTAAACTACACTACAAGGCTACAGTAACCAAAACAGCATTGTACTGGTACCAAAACAGACACATTAACAGATGGAACAGAATAGAGAACTCAGAAGTAAGACTGCATATCTACAACCATCTCATCTTCAACAAACCTGACAAAAACAAGCAAAGGAGAAAGGATTTTCTATTTAATAAATGATGCTGCAAGAACTAACTAGTCATATGCAGAAAATTGAAACTGGACCCCTTCCTTGCACTTTATGCAAAAATTGCCTCAAGATGGTTTAAAGATTTAAATGTAAAACCCAAAACTATAAAATCCCTAGCAGAAAATCTAGGCAATACCATTCAGGACATAGGCAAGGGCAAAGATTTCACAATGAAGATGCCAAAAGCAATTGCAACAAAAAACTCATTAAAAAGTGAGCTAAGGACATGAACAGACACTTCTCAAAAGAAGAAATGTATGTAGCCAGCAAACATGAAAAATTAACTCAGCATCACTGATCATTAGAGAAATGCAAATCAAACCACAGTGAGATACCATCTCACACCAGTCAGAATGGGTGATGATTAAAGTCAAGGAACAACAGATGCCAGCAAGGCTGCAGAGAAATAGGAACATTTTTACACTGTTGGTGGGAATGTAAATTAGTTCAACCATTGTGGAAGACAGTGTGGAGATTCCTCAGAGACCTAGAACCAGAAATACCATTTGACCCAGCGATCCCACCACTGGATATATATTCAAATGAAAATAAATCATTCTATGGTAAGGATACATGCACACATATGTTCATTGCAGTACTGTTCATAATAGCAAATACATGGAATCTAAATGTCCATCAGTGATAGACTGGATAAGGAAAATATGATACATATACACCATGGAATACTATGCAGCCATAAAAAGAAATGAAATCATGTCTTTTGCAGGGACATGGTTGGCGCTAGAAGCCATTATCCTCAGCCGACTAAGACAGGACACCACATGTTCTCACTTATAAGTGGGAGCTGAACAATGTGAATACATGGACACAGGGAGAGCAACAATACACAATGAGGCCTGTTGGGGGAGGGTAGGGAGGGAGGCAGGAGAGCATCAGGAAAAATAGCTAATGCATGCTGGGCTTAATACCGAGGTGATGGATTGATAGTGCAGCAAACCACCATTGCACATGTTTACCTATGTAACAAACCTGCACATCTTGCACATGTACCTTGGTACCTAAAATAAAATAAAATTTTAAAAATAAAATAAAATTAATATAAGTTATTTCTTACCCAGAGTAGGCTTATGGTAAGTATGTTTTTTGGAAGTCTATTCTTTCTTATCTTCTTTACTGAGTTAAGGCCACAGATCTTAGGCTTTGAGTCACAGATAACTAAAATCTAAACAAAATTGAAAATATTCCCCAAAGGGGACAAAAGTGCACTTGTGCACACACACACACACACACACACTCTCTCTCTCTCTCACACATGCATACTTTTTTTAACCTAAAATTTCAGAGCCTTAAAGATTATCTGAAAGCTCAGTCATAACCATTAAAGATCTATCTATGAAAACAGATGAAGAATTCCTATTCGGGGGAATTTCAAGGTTTTACTTCTTGAAGTATCAGAATCACCGGTTGTATCTGTGCTAGCTAGAGTACCTGACAAGGAAGAAGTACATTCGTAAAAGTGTGAATTAACTAAGGTGAATTCCTAGGCATCTTGAAATCCTTTTAGGATCCAGAATGATGAATGAATGGATTGTGGAAAAGCAGCACGTCAGCCATCCATTAGGATAGCTTTGCGTTCCCTTGGTGAGCAGATCTATACCGGTGGTTCTTCCGGTTACTTTGAGGATAGTGGGTTTTGCTTTGGAAAATGTGATTGATGTGGCTATGCCTCCATGCACACATCATTAGTCTGTGGCGGGTAAGCTCAGATGGTCAGAGCACTGTGCTAATGAGGCGAAGGTTAGGGGTTCAGTGCCCATGTGGGCTACTTAGCTTTTGTCTCATTCATGTCCCCAGACTACTCCCAACACAGGCCACCTGTCTTGAAGATGTGTATCTATAGTCAGGGGAAAGAGCCATGTGCAAGAGTTTGGCTGGATCACTACAAATCTATCATGACTCTGGGAAATCAACCGCTGTGTGAGCTCCTGTCTATTGATGAGGGAACACGCCTTCATTTAAAAGGAACAGTAAGCATAATTCTCAATGCACACATGGTCTCAATGGAGTGTATTTTGTAAATAACTTGTTAAATTGTCACTTAATTTTACACAGCTAGAAAATAGGTAACCAAGTGAGATGACGTTTGACAAAACAGTGGTGAGGTGCCCTTCACTCAGGCAAGTGAAACATGAATATTTACTTATATACAGAGGAGTGCACACCAGCATTCAGGCTGCAGAAAATTCACTTCACAAAAAGCAACTACGGAAGCTCTTGAATCATTTAATAGGTGAATCTTTGATTAAGTGTTATCAAAATAATAGTTGAATTCAACAGAATTTTTCATCTTCATATTTCTTTTATAAAGCGAAGCACATGTTTGCACCCAAAACTTCCTTACCTTACCCTCATTTTGGGTAAGAGCACTATGATCTGACACAAGCCAGGGGTCAGGAAATTACCCTTAGGTCCTCCCTGACCCTCGGCTCTTCATCTCCCAAACCTAAAGGAAGCTGAGAGGTTTAGTTTTAACTCCTTCATGGCTCTCATATCTGTCCCTCCCCCTTTCTTATTATCAAGATTTCAGCTCTAACCCTGGTGCTTTCCTGACTGGACCACTGGAGCACACAGCTAACTAAGCTTTCATCCTTCCTGATCACTGAGGATAATTTCTAAGCATGAGCTTTACAAGTTGACTATCTGTGTTCAAACCCAAAATCTACCATTTACTAGCTGTGTAAAGTTACTTGCATATAGCCAGAAGGCTATACACTTCCTTAACTAAATCTAGCTAGAGTGCAACTTCTAGAAAAATGTAACTTTTAGCCTGTGCTTCCATTTATGTTTACCTGTAAATTAGGGACAAAAATAATAACAGGCTCATGGGATTTTTGTAATGATGTATATTGGTTGATTTTACAAAAGATGTTTAGAAACTTGCTTGAAATATAATATCCACTTAATAAATGTTATTTGCTATTATTATTGCTAATTAATTCATCCTTATCATTTCTGTATTTACAGCATGGATTGACTCAAGGTGTATTGTTCTGAATCTTACCGTTAAGACTTCCTCAACAAGTTACCGACCTTCTGATTGAGTCTCCTCATCAGCTGAAATGTTTACTCCTATAGAGTTAATGACAGTGTCTGTGTTAGAGGATTTGGTCAAGATGAAATTAGATATTGCAATGGAGTGCTGAGGACAACAGCTGACATACTTAAAATGCTTGCTAAATGTGTACAAGTACACAAGGTCTGTTTTATTAATAAAAACCAACATCTATGTCACTCTCTTGTTTCCAGTTATGTGATGCAAGACTGTTCTAGGGATAATTTCTGTAGTTCAGTCTCAGAGAAGATTCTCTGACAGTGTGCAGCACTGGAAACTGCAAGAAGGAGGCACAGCAATCTCTCCTGAGCGGGGAGCCTGCACTGAGTGCTGTTTTGTTGCGGCTGCTGTTTGCCACTGTCGATCGTTCTCCTCTTTCAGGAGAGTAAGAAGGGAAGGATGCAGTCTGAGTGGTTTCCATTAGGACTTTGAAAAACAATCATGTAATAGTTCCTCATTGAATATAGTCACCAGCATGTTAGAAGCTGTAAACCCTTTGTAACACAACAAATTTCAAGTAGCTGTAAATGCTCTAAATACTTATGTGAGACTTCAGCAACACCGTAGACCCATCTATCGCAGAGAACTCCACCTCTTGATGTGAAAGTATATATAAATATGTTGAAAACAGGTAACAATGCACAAACAAATTCAAAAGACAAAAGGAACCCTCCCAGTACTAGAATGTCAAAGCTCATGCAAAAATAGAGCAGACGCCACCACTGTTCACAGGAGTTTTCCTGATACAGACTCTAAGGCTGGGGGTGGTGACTTCAACACCCACACTGGAACAGGTGAGGAAATCTCTCACCGAAGTAGGTGTAGATCTGGAATAGCATTGTTTGTTTATTTTGGACAGAGTTTCCTTCTTATTGCCCAGGCTGGAGAGGAATGGTGCTATCTCAGCTCACTGCAACCTCTGCCTCCCAGATTCAAGCAATTCTCTTGCCTCAGCCCCCCAAGTAGCTAGAATCACAGACATGCACCACCATACCAAGCAAATTTTTTTTATTTAGTAGAGATGGGGTTTCACCATGTTTATCAGGCTGGTCTCAAATGCCTGACCTCAGGTGATCCACCCCACTTGGCCTCCAAAAGTGCTTGGGTTACAGGCATGCACCACCACACATGGCCCTGGAATAGCTATTTTTATAAAGCTAAGACTGTTCATGTCATGCAAAGAGAAATTAATTCCACTCACCAACCTGTGGAGACAGCAACATAACTTTCTCCCTACTGGCAACTATGAAAGAGAAAAAAGTCTCTTGCAAGAAATCAAAACACCAACTCTGTGCCATGACTACATGGGAAGCCCAAATTTATTTTATTATCCAGGTGTAGGGAGCCTTAAACAAGATTTTATCTGAAATATGAGATGCCAAGAAATCTAAAATAAAAGAAAAGTAAAGCTGCTTTGTTGGGACAGCTGTGCAACGAGGGTGAGAGCATATGACTCCTCCTACCAAAAAGAACCCACCAGATTCAAATCATAACTAAAGAACAAGAAATGTGCAAAAAGCTGGCATTTTTAGTAACAGTCTTTAAAAACATCAAGAAAATAAAATTGTGGTAATTAATATGTTTAAAAACATTGGATAGGTTAAACAGCAGATTAGATAAAGCTGACAAAAGACTCGATAAACTGGAAAACAATTCTGAGGGAAAATCCCCTCAAAATGCAGCACAAATAAATAAGAAATATAAAGTGTCAAAAAAATTAAACAACAGAAATAATGTCCCATATTCATCTAAGAAGAAATACATCAAGTAAAAAGATATTTGAAGAAAAGATAATTGATTATTTTGCAGAACTGAAGAAAATCTGATTAGAAAAGCACCGCAATTCCCAAGCAAGTAAAAATAAGTTTGTATCTAGACCCATCAAAATAAAATTAGAAAACATAAAAACAAAGGAAATATCTTAAAGATAATTAGAAAAAACATAGAGATTACCCACAAAGGAAGCACATGCTGCTGACTGCAGGCATCGCTTCATCTATCACAAAGTCAGAAAAATGTAGAACTTGTTAACCTACAGGCAGTTAAACTGTTATTTACAAGCAAAAGTAAAATAAAGATGGATTTAGAGAGTATAGCATTCATATACTGTTATTCAAAAATACCAAAGAACACATTTAACAGAAACAGAATAGGCTGGGCATGGTGGCTCATGCCTGTAATCCCAGCACTTTGGGAGGCTGAGGCGGGTGACTCACATGAGGTCAGGATTTCCAGACCAGCCTAGCCTACATGGTGAAACCCTATCTCTACCAAAAATAGAAAAAATTAGGTGGGTGTGGTGCTGTGCACCTATAATCCAGGCCACTCAGAAGGCTGAGGCAGGAGAATCACTTGGGCCAGGGAGGCGGAGGTTGCAATGACCCTGGATGGTGCCACTGCACTCCTGCCTGGGCAATAAGAGCAAAACTCCATCTCAAAAGAAAAAGAAAGAAAGAGAAAGAGGAAGAAAGAAAGGAAGGGAGGAAAGAGAGAGAGAGAGAGAGAAAGGAAAGAAAGAAAGAAAGAAAAGAAAGAGAGAAAGAGAAAGAAAAAGGAAGGAAGGAAGGAAACAATACAGAAGAATGAAAAGTGTTAAAAGTGTACCTAAAATTGGAAAGCTTAAAAACAAAGATTCAAAATCCCAGTCAACAATAGCATAGAAAAAGATAGAGGGGCCAATAAACCCTAAAGGATTTAGTTCCTCTTAGAGTAGAAATGTTGGGGAGGGGATTCAAGAGGCGCAGTGAGAACAACCCAGGATTGAAGCTCTTGGTGAATGCGCGGAGAGGGTGAGTCAGGGCTGCATTTCCAGACGTATCTTTGTTGCCCACAGAACGGGGAAATTCCCAGGTATAAACGAGACGCGGGATGCCAGGCAGAGGCTTTGGCTGGTGCAGCCGGCAGCCGGTGTAGCCGGCGGCTGGCACTGTAGCGCAGCGGTGCTACACAGTGCTCCACACAAAGCGCACTGGTCCAGGTGCCCTCTTGAACTGGCAATCTGAGACTTCAGAGGGCTGAACTTGAGACTGAATGGGACTTGGACAGTGAGCCAAGCCAGGAAATTTCAGGGAAACAGTGTTTGGGGTAGCGCAGTGGGACAAACAAAACGGCGATTCCAAACGCTCCGGATGGAGAGGTTCCCTGAGGGCACAGCTGAACCCAGAACGGTGCAGCTCCGTGGGGGAGGGGGGTCCGCCATTACCGAGGCAATCCATCCCTACTGAGGTACACGCCCATTGCGGACACAGCCTGCCGTTGCCGAGGCAACCCGCTACAACAGAGAGACTCCGCTGCAGGGCGTAGCCCGTGGCAGCAGAGCGGAGACTGCAGCAGCAGGGCAGAACCTGCAGAAACAGGGCAAACCTCACACCAGCAGGGTGGAGCCTCGGCAGGCAAATAGTGACTAGACTGCCTCCTAGCTGTGCAGGACAGCAAAATGGACACTCACAAAGAAAGCCCCAATCCATCTGAGACAGAGCATCTGAGAAAAAAAGGGTATTTTTATGAGTTCTGCTGCAGCAGAATTAAACGTAGCAGCCTAACAGCCCTGAATGAACAACAGAGCCCACAGCTCAGCACTTGAGCTCCTATAAAGTACAGACTGTCTCCTCAAGCAGCTCCCTGACCCCTCTATATCCAAAAGACTGACATTTGGCAGGCATCATTCTGGGACAAAGATAGCAGAAAAAGAAACTGGTAGCATCCCTCACTGTTCCACAGCTGCTATAGGTGCACCCCAGACAAGCAGGGCCTGGAGTGGACCTCAGCAGTCATACAGTGGAGGGGCTAGACTGGTAGAAGGAAAACCAAGTAATAGAAATACTTCATCATCAACAATCTGGGCATCCACTCAGAGACCCAATCAAAAAGTCAGCAACTACACAGACAACAGGTGGATAAATCCACAAAGATGGAAAGAAACCAGCGCAAAAAGGAGGAAAACACCCGAAACCAGAACACCTCACCTCCTAGAAAGGACCAAAACTCCTCACCAGCAAGGGAACAAAGCGGGACGGAGAATGACTGTGACAAAATGATGGAATTAGATTTTAGAAGGTGGATAATGAGAAACTTTTGTGAGCTAAAAGAACATGTTTTGAATCAATGCAAAGAAACTAAGAACCTTGAAAAAAGATTTGAGGAAACGATAACAAGAATGGATAACTTAGAGAGGAATATGAATGAATTACAGGAGCTGAAAAACACAATATGAGAACTTCGCGAAGCATGCACAAGTTTCAACAGCCAAACTGACCAAGCAGAAGAAAGGAAATCAGAAGTCGAAGATCAACTCAATGAAATAAAACAAGAAACCAAGATCAGAGAAAAAAGCGTAAAAAGGAATGAACAAAGTCTCCAAGAAATGTGGGACTATGTGAAGAGACCTAACCTACGTATGATAGGTGTACCAGAATGTGACGAAGAGAATGAATCCAAGCTGGAAAATACTCGTCAGGACATTATCCAGGAAAATTTCCCCCACCTAGCAAGACAGCCAACACTTAAATGAAGGAAATACAGAGAATATCACAAAGATATTCCGCAAGAAGAGCAACCCCAAGGCACATAATCGTCAGATTCACAAGGTTGAAATAAAGGAGAAAATACCAAGGGCAGCCAGAGAGACAGGTCGGGTCACCCACAAACAGAAGCCCATCAGACTCACAGCAGATCTCTCGGCAGAAACACTACAAGCAAGAAGAGAGTGAGGGCCAATATTCAACATCCTTAAAGAAAAAAACTTTCAACCCAGAATTTCATATGCAGCCAAACTGAGCTTCGTAAGTGAAGGAAAAAAAAATCCTTTGCGAACAAGCAAGTACTCAGAGATTTTGTCACCACCAGGCCTGCTTTACAAGAGCTCCTGAAAGAGGCACTACACATAGAAAGGAACAACCAGTACCAGCCATTCCAAAATCACACTAAATGCTAAAGGGCATCAAGATAATGAAGAATCTACAACGACTAACGGGCAAACCAGCCAGCTAGCATAGAAATCGCAGTATCAAATTCACACATAACAATATTAACCCTAAATGTAAATGGACTAAATGCACCAATCAAAAGACACAGACTAGAAAATTGGATAAAAATCCAAAACCCAGCAGTGTGCTGTATCCAGGAAACCCATCTCACATGCAAGGATACACAAAGGCTCAAAATAAAGGGATGGAGGAAGATTTACCAAGCAAATGGAGAGCAAAAAAAAGCAGGAGTTGCAATTCTCATCTCTGATAAAATAGACTTTAAAGCAACAAAGATCAAAAGAGACAAAGAAGGCCATCACATAATGGTAAAAGGATCGATACAACAAGAAGAGCTAACAATCCTAAAAATATATGGACCCAATACAGGAGCGCCCAGATACATAAGGAAAGTTCTTAATGACTTACAAAGACACTTAGACTCCCACAC